TTGACAGTCGTGGGGCTTGAACTCTGGGCTTAGGCGCTGTCTGTGAGCTCTTCAGCTCAAGACAAGCCCTCTACCGCTTGAGCCACAGAGCCACTTCTGGTTTTTCTTGTGGTTTATTGAAGAGAAGAGTTTCACAGACTTTCCTGCCCGGGCTGGCTTTGAACCGTGATCCTCAGATCTCAGCCTCCTCAGTAGCTAGGATTACAGGCGTGAGCCACCGGCACTCTACCACTTTAGCCACAATACCACCTCTGGATATTTCTGTTTGTGTGATGCTGAGGAATCAAACCCAGGGCTTCATGCATGCTAGGCAAGCACTCTACCACTAAGCCACATTCCCAGTCCCAATATTTTTTTTCTGTCAGTTGTGGGGCTTGAACTCTGGGCTTAGGCACTGTCCCTGCACTCTTCAGTTCTAAGGCAAGCACTCTACCACTTGAGCCACAGCTTAACTTCAGACTCTTTGCTAGTTAATTATGAGAGTCTCATGGATTTTCCTGCTTGGGCTGGCTTTGAACCTCAATCCTCAGATCTCAACCTTCTTAGTAACTAAAATTATAGCCACGAGCCACGGGGCTACTGTTGTTTTTGTTGGTTTGGTTGGGAATTTGTTCTTGCTGTTTTACGCTTTGTTTACTCTTTGTTGTGGTTGAGGTTCATTGTTTGTTTGTTTGAGGCTATGTTTCACTATGTAGCCCAGACTGGCTTAAAATTTGCAATCCTAGTGCTGGGATTTCACACATGCCTACCACTCTACGCTCAAGGCCTTGAACTTAATAACCAAACATCAGTCTGGTGCCTTTCATTTTTCCTCTAGTGCTGGGGGTGGAACCTAAGGCCTTGCCCATGGTAAGCAAGCAATTCTACCACTGAACTACAGCCCCCAGCCCCAGTGTCATTCTTTTGACCACTGGAATCTCCCTCCCCATGACCAATCAGGCCTAACCCTGGACATTTCATATTTGGCCTACATCTGGATGAGAGGCAGGTTACAGTTTCCCAAACCCCACCCTTGGACACCCGCCCTGGGGAGGTGTGGCAGAGACACCCAACCAGAATTTCCAGCTTGCACAACCTGAGCAAACCTGTGGGCAGAGTACAACAGCTCGTCCCATGAGTCAGCTCTGGCCCAGTCTTTGACCCATACCCCCTGGCCTCTTTCGAGCACTCCCTTCTGAAGTGAGTCAGCACACCCACCCTCTTCGGTACAGCCAGTGCTCCACAAGGCAGGAGCCCAGGTACCCCCCGGCCCTTCAACCCCACATAAGACCAATCGAACAACCCATGGGACTGTAGGATCTGTGACTACAGCAGGGAATATACACACACTGCCCCATAAAGAAGATTGCTGCATACGGGTCAAGGAGCAAAGTCCTGTCATAGGAGGAGTGGAGACAGGCATTTACAGAGACTACACAGAGGCAAAAAGCCAGTGCCCAGAGGAATCACTAACCAGAGCTAGTGCCATGGACATTGTGATCCGATTCCTGCAGCTGCTGGTGCTGCTCCTGACCCTGCCCCTACACCTCATGGCCCTGCTGGGCTTCTGGCAGCACCTATGTGAAACTTACTTCCCCTACCTGATGGTCAAGCTGGCTGCCAGTACTAATCGCAGGATGGAGAGCAAGAAACGGGAGTTCTTCCACCAGATAAAGAGACTTATGGAAACCTCTGGGAAAGTAACCCTGTTGGAGCTGGGCTGTGGCACAGGTGCCAACTTCCAGTTCTACCCACCTGGCTGCAAGGTCACCTGCCTAGATCCCAACCCCAACTTCAAGAAGTTCCTGGCAAAGAGCATGGCGGAGAACAGGCACCTCCAGTATGAGCAGTTCGTCGTGGCTTATGGAGAGGACATGAAACAGCTGGCCGATGACTCCATGGATGTAGTGGTCTGCACACTAGTCCTGTGCTCTGTGCAGAACCCAAAGAAAGTCCTGCAAGAAGTCCAGAGAGTTCTGAGGCCGGTAAGTGGCAGGGGGGATAGGGGAGGGTACAGGCCTAAAGTAGATAAACCTGGCATTGGCCACCCCAAAGTTCAGGGCTTCCCACTCCCCACCCGATAGGGAAACTAGCACATTAGACTCCCACAATGTCTACCTGCTTGTTTGTGATTAGCCATACCCAGATCCTGGGGAAACACACAGAAACATTACCTAATGCTGGAGTAGGGAAACTGGGAAGGACACTTAAGGAAATTAAGTTGACTTGAGATCCGAGGGCCAGGGGAATGGCTCAGTAAAAGCACTTGTCTACAAGCCTGAGGCCATGAGTTCAAACTCCAGTAGTGCCACCAAAAGAAAAAATTAAAAGATATTTAAATTGAGCTCTAGAGGACTAAGCAAGCTGGGTAGTAGTGGCTCAGGCCTGTAATCTCACTACTCTGGAGATGGAGATCTGAGGATCACAGTTCAAAACTAGCCTGGGGAAACAAGTTGAAAAGACTCTTATCTCCAATTAACCATCAAAAAGCCGGAAGTGGAACTGTGGCTTTAATGATAGAGCAAAAAAAGCTAAAGGAGAGTGCCCAGACCTTGAGTTCAAGCCCCATTAATGGCAAAAGAAAGAAAAGAAAGGGAGGGGAGAAGGGAGGAAGAAAGGAAGAAAGGAAGGAAGGAAGGAGAAGAAAAGAGAAGTACTAAGCAGGGTGCAGAGGGGATGGGAGAAAAGTCAAGGTGTTCCTAGAGTTGGTGAGACTCTTATCTCCAGTAAACTATAGCAGAAAATGCCAAAAGTGTGCTTCAGCTCAAATGGTAGAGCACTAGCCTTGAGCAAAAGATGCTCAGTCAGGGACAGCACCCATGCCCTGAGTTCAAACCCCAGTCTTAGTAAAAATAAATTAAGAGTTGCAAATGTGGTTTAGTGGTAGAGTGCTTGCCTAACAGGCATGAAGCCCTGGGTTCAATTCCTCAGTACCACATACACACACACAAAAAGCAGGAAATGGTGCTGTGGCTCATAGAAGTGCTAGCCTTGAGCAAAAGAAACTCAGGTACAGTGCCCAGGCCCTGAGTTTAAGCCCCAGGACTGGCACAAAAAAAATTAAAATTAAAAAGTAATTAAATAAAAATTAAAATTTCCCAGCCATCCCCTCTCTCAGTAGTTGCTAGATGGTTTTTGTTGTTGTCCTTGTGTTGGTTGATTGGTTGGTTGGTTGTTGGTTTGGTTTGGTTTGGTTTTTTGTCAATCAGGAGGCTTAAACGTGGCCTAGGCATGTCCTCCAGTTTTGTTTGTTTTTAACTCAAGGCTTGTGCTCTATCACTATGAGCCAGAGCACCACTTCCAGTTTTCTGGTGGTTAATTGGAGATAAGAGTCTCACAGAAGCTGAGCCCCAGTGGCTCATGCCTATAATCCTAGCTACTCAGGAGGCTGAGTTCTGAGGATGGCGGTTCAAAGCCAGCCCCGGCAGGAAAGTCTGTGAGACTCTTATCTCCAATAAAAAACACTAGAAAACCGGAAGTGGCACATTGGCTTAAGCGGTAGGGCGCTTGCCTTGAGCTGAAGAGCGCAGGGACAGCGCCCAAGCCCAGAGTTCAAGCCCCATGAACGACAAAAAAAAAAAAAACTGTCTCATAGAGGAGCTGGGAAGGTGGCTCAGTGGTACAGCTCTTGCCTTACATGCATGAGGCCCTGGGTTCGATTCCTCAGCACCACATAAGCAGAAAAAACCAGAAGTGGCACTGTGGCTCAAATGGTAGAGCACTAGCCTTGAGCTGAAGAGCTGAGGGACAGCGCCCAGGCCCAGAGTTCAGGCCCCACGACCAACAAAAACAAAGCAAAAAAAAGAGTCTCACAGAGTTTCCTGCCAGGGATGGCTTTGAACCATGATCCTCAGATCCTCTTGAGTAGCTAGACTTACAGGCTTGGACCACTGGCGCCCAACCACAGGGGGTGCAGCAAACACCCCAAACAGGACAGTTTGTTCTATCAATTCTCAGATCAGCTGCTCCCACTTCACCAAGATGTTGGACAGGTTTGGTGAGAAGGAAGGAGGGGAGGTTAGGAGCCCCGTAGAGCAGCGCAATCACACTGCCTCTCCCCTTCTTCCCAGGGAGGGTTGCTGCTGTTCTGGGAGCATGTGGCTGAGCCTCGTGGAACCTGGGCCCACAAGTGGCAGCAAGTTTTGGAGCCTACCTGGAAACATATCGGGAATGGCTGTCGCCTCACCAGAGAGACATGGAAGGACCTTGAGAATGCGCAGTTCACTGAAGTCCAAATGGAATGGCAACCTCCTCCCCTCAAATGGTTACCTGTTGGGCCTCACATCATGGGAAAGGCGATCAAATAAGCTTTTCCTCAAACCCTCACGACAGCCATTCATTCCTCCCCAGCCTCCCGTCACCAGCCAAGACTATCTTCTACTGAAAGAAATCTAGAATACCGTAAGCCCTCTCTATGTCA